AATATATTAAAAATTAGATTTTAATTTCCGCCAAATAGAAGTTAACAGTAATGAAATCTGAAGCCCAGCCTAATCCCTTCCCTTTTTGTACGGTCTTAATACGTGATGGAATTGATATTGGGTTAATTATGTTACTACAAATGAAAAAATATATAACTATAAAGGTTTCTAGATATGTTTTCCAAAAAAAAAAAAAAAAAATTGTGGAAAAGTTTCAAAAATCACGTAGTCATAATTAATAACAATTTTTGACTTATTAATTAATTAGGTTAAAGTCATACTAACACACAATTTTTTGTCACAGTCACGTACCTTCACAAATTGCACAAAGTCAGAATCACATAAACAAATTATGAGTCATCAATTATAAATTTAATCGTGAATCACACATTTTTTAGGTCAAATATTATCTATGGTAACAAATTACCCATTTTATTAATTACAATTACCCAAAGAATTGTCATAAACGTTTTTTTATCCCACTCCACCACTATCAACATTGCCCAAACGTCATTGCCACATCACCATAGCCATCGTAATCACCATCGTTGAGCCATCTCCACCATTGTTGCCACCGCATCACCACCATGCAAATCTATACATTTCAACCTACCACCACACAATCATTAGTGCACCACAACATCTACCGTACCAACACCAAAGCAAATTCAACTAGTGCGGAGAGATCTAAAAATTTTAAATTCGAATCAGGTTCAAAGTGGAAGAGATCTGGCTAGTGTGAAGATCTGATTCACAGTCACTTTCTTCAATGTCACCATTTGAACCAGCTATTTAATCCTCTCCGACAAGCAACAACAACATGATATCTCCCACGACCACCTCTTCATTAATAGAGTTATCATATTCATTATAAATTTTCCTATTGTTGATCTCAAAAAGTCCCCTTAACGATTTTATTTAAAACCCATAAATTACTTGGAGCCGCCTATGTGCATACACAAAATGTCGGTAAAATAAAACCACAAAGGTGTTGGAAAGAAGAAGAAAATTTTGCATCTAAAGCCTAGTAGTACTTCTAAGAGATTTTGGTAACCCTATTGGACTTTTCCATATCCCTGACTTCCCAATTAAAGAATTAGAGTACGGATTGTTTATTAGGTTAGAAATGGTACGAATGCTTTAATAATTTTCAACTTATTGGTTGTTAAAATTAAATTTATCAAACAAATTCTATCCTACTCTACTTTCATAGTTTCCAAATCTGCGACGAATCATCATAAGCTTCTTCACGAATCATGATAGACTATATGATATATCTCGCAACCTCTATCAAACCAAATTTATAATTTTAGACGAGATAGTTTGTATAATATAAAAGAAAATTTGAAAACCGTGCACGGAAAAACGAACATAAAAAAGGAACCTCGCCTATATGTGATAGATATAAAAGTTTAAATAAGTAATTTTGTGATTTAGCGTTGAGAAATTTAAATAAGAATTTTTCTTGAAAATTGTAAAGACACGCAACTAAACGATTTAATTATATTATCCTAAATGTCCATTGACCCTAGTATAATTTATCTAAAGCAAGCAGCTTACTGTCTTAATCAATAATAGATTTTGTAATCTAGTGGTGTTCAATTATTTGTCAATATTTCTTTTTTTCTTGGACATAAAGATTATATATTTACTTCTTTGCCATAGTCGTACGTGTTGTATAAGAAATTAAGAATTAACAAGGTGGTGTTATGACTTTTGATGGAGTTGGAACCACTAATCTTGACTTCTTGTTACAAATTGCTTGTATTATGTATTGTCTATAATGCAAATAAGAAAAAGAAAAAAGAATATATCTCGAGTTTTGATCGTTTATACATATAAATTACAATCAATATAATGCTCAATTTAACTCGAATTAAACGAGCTGCAGAGTTGGTTCCAATCAGTTCAAACATACATCGAGTATAATCTTGAACAAGAAAAATTCAGTTTTTACTACTAAAAAAGGTGCACTAGGGAAGATTTAAAAAAAATAATAAAAATAAATAAATTCCGAACACTTCTTGGAGAGCAAAAGCTCTTTTGATTAAAATAATGGATGTTTCTTTTTAGAAAAACAAAAATATTTGTTGACCAAACAAAAATTCTTTCAAAACTGTTTTGGAGAAATTCGAATTTTGATTGAAAAAATCTCTAATGCGGCTTAGACTGAAAGCTGAAATTTGTTTTCAACGAAACTTTTAAAACTAACAATATTTTTCTTATTAATTTTCTAAAATGTGAAATATACTAAAATTATCCAAATTTAAGTAAAAAATAATAATTATATGTGCTTCAAAGAGCACGTCATACGTTCATATTATAAAAAAAAATATATATATATGGAATGTGTATAATAAATAAATAAGTTTTAAATAATATAAAAGATACTAAAAGGATTACATCATGCTACTTATTTAACTAGATTTTATAGAAATAAGAAATAGATATTACTTATGAATTTTTTTCAC